CAGTTCCTCTGGAGGGCCAACAACAGGGCAGAGAGTCCGAGGCCTTCCCCTGGTAAGAAAATCAGAAGAGCATTGCTGGATCAGACCAATAGTCCATCTAGTCCAGCATGCTGTCTCACGCAGGGGCCAACCAGTTCCTCTGGAGGACCAACAACAGGGCACAGAGGCCGAGGCCTTCCCCTAATAAGACCATCAGAAGAGCCCTGCTGGATCACACCAATAGTCCATCTAGTCCAGCATCCTGTCTCACACAGGGGCCAACCAGTTCCTCTGGAGGGCCAACAACAGGGCATGGAGTCCGATGCCTTCATAAGAACATCAGATGAGCTCTGCTGGATCAGACTAGTGGTCCATCCAGTCCAGCATCCTGTCTCACACAGCGGTCAAACAGTTCCTCTGGTTGGCCAAGAACAGAGCAGAGAGGCCGAGGCCTTCCCCTGAGGTTGCCTCCCAGCTCTGGGATTCAGAGGATTAGTGCCTCTGAACGTGGATGTTCCCCTCAGCCACCATGACTAGTGGCCATTGACAGACATCCTCCATGAACCTATCTCATCTTTTAAAGCTTTTTATTTATTTATTTTTAAAGCTGTTTATTCCTTTTAAAGCAGTTTATTCCTGCAGCCTTGGACAACAGTGGGGTGGTCCAAGACACCCAGGCCTGTCTGTAGGAGTCTACATTTTCTGCAGCCTGCTCACCTGGACGCATTTCACATTGATGCCAGGACAGACAAACTTCCGCCATATCAGGTTGGCTTTGCTGTCTCCGCAGGTGATGGGATAAACAATCTCGGCTTCCACGCAGTCGTCTCCTTCGGCCATCTTCACTTCAGGGAGAGGGAGGGGGCACAATTTTTTAAAAAGTTGATTACTGACCATCTCATGGAGATAATTAAGAATGCAGTTTTTAAAAGCTAGAAAGGAGGGGGTGGGGAACAGCTACACTTCGGCTGAAAATAGTATTCCCTCCTGTCCTTAATACTGAGCTCCCAGCTGAATAAATTACCTGCGCAAAAGAGATTCATTATTACGCTACTTCTATAGTGTGAGAAGGAGGAGAGGTGATTGGATTTATACCCCATGCCCTTCACTACCCAAAGGAGTCTCAGAGCAGCTTACAAACTCCTTTCCCTTCCCCTCCCCACAACAGACAACCTGTGAGTTAGGTGGGGCTGAGAGAGCTCTTGACAGAAACTGCTCTTTTTCAAGAACAGCTCTTATCAGAACTACAACTTGCCCAAGGTCATCCAAGCAGGTGCAAGTGGTGGAGTGGGGAATCAAACCCGGTTCTCCCAGATTAGAGTCTGCGCACTTAATCACTACACCAGACTGGAAGAGGAGATTGGATTTATATCCCACCTTTCACTCGGAGTCTCAAAGCGGCTTACAAACTCCTTTCCCTTCCCCTTCCCACAACAGGCACCCTGTGAGGCAGGCGGGGCTGAGGGAGCTCTGCTCTTTTTCAAAAACAGCTCTTATCAGAACTACGGCTTGCCTAAGGTCATCCAGCAGGTGCAAGTGGAGGAGTGGGGAATCAAACCTGGTTCTCCCAGATTAGAGTCCACACACTTAACCACTACACCAAACTGGCTGTCTTATACCTCACCCTTCACTACCCAAAGGAGTCTCAGAGCGGCTTACAAACTCCTTCCCCTTCCCCTCCCCAAACAGACACCCGTGAGGTAGGCGGGGCTGAGAGAGCTCTTTTGAGAACTGCTCATGAGAGAACAGCTCTGAGAGAACTTGTGACTGACCCAAGGTCACACCAGCAGCTGCATATGGCGGAGCGGGGAATCAAATCTGGTTCTCCTAGATTAGAGTCCGCGCTCCTAACCACTACACCAAAACCTTCGCTTCTGAATTGAGACCTACAGAGTGGGCTAGGAAAGGGTGCATGAAATTCTAAATTTAGCCAGCAGGCGGCAGCACACTTTAGCAAATGGTAGAAATGCTAATACTGTTATAACAGAAAACAGGGAAGAAGAGGAGGAAGAGGAGGAGGAGGAGATTGGATTTATACCCCACCCTTCACTACCCAAAGGAGTCTCAGAGTGGCTTACAAACTCCTTTCCCTTCCCCTCCCCACAACAGACACCCTATTAGGTAGGCGGGGCCGAGAGAGCTCTTTCGAGAACTGCTCTGGAGAGAACAGCTCTCAGAGAGAACTTGTGACTGACCCAGTGTCGCACCAGCAGCTGTATGAGGACTGAGCAAGAAAACCCGGTTCTCCCAGATGGGAGTCCACGCTCCTAAGAACTGCACCAAACTGGCTCCTAACCACGACACCAAACTGGTATACAGCATTCTACAGAGTAATGTTAAGTATTAGTCTCTGCTTTAGGATGCTGACAATCTAAATCTCCGTGTGTGAAACCGAAGCGAAGGTTGATCTAGACATCCAGTCCATTGACAGGATAACAGGGACGGGCATGACGTTCCAGGAGCATCTCCTGAGCAAGCCCTGGGGTGCGTGGCCACTACCATTCGTTTCAGTGGGTAATGCAGAAGACAAGCTTTGGCAGATGGCACTGCCCGAATGCTAAGCCGTTCTACTGAATTCAACACTAAACCTCACCTTGTGCCCCGGTCAGGGCTCTTTTTGTAGAAAAAGCCCAGCAGGAACTCATTAGCATAATAGGCCACACCCAACACCAGAAACTCATTAGCATATTGGGCCACACCCCTGACAGTGCAGCTCATTAGCATATTAGGCCACACCCCCAGAAGTGTGGTTGTCCAGCCACACACACCTTTTGATTCTTATTCTCTTTACCTTGTTTGTTGTCAAAACGGTCCAGGGCCTTTTTTGTAGCAGGAACATCTTTGCATGTTAGGCCACACACCCCTAATGTAGCCAATCCTAATGAGTTCCTGCTCTTGGGTGTGGCCTATTATGCTAATGAGTTCCTGCTGGGCGTGGCCAACTTGGGAGCCAGCCGGAACTCCGTTCCTGTGCGTTCCTGCCCAAAAATAGCCCTGGCTCCGGTCATCTCACACCTCGCAGTATCAAAACCTTGCTTCTCACGGCGGATGGCAGTTCTACGGCTGACGCCAATGAAACGGTGACGCACCCTCATTCGTGCCTGCCCCAAAAGTCCGCAGCTGGGCTGTCAAGTTTTCACTGTAGCGCTCTCTGGCCCCAACCTCCCCAGGTAGCACTACTTACTGGTGTAATTGACTAGAATATAAGCAAGGCAGGCCAGCGCTGCACTTACCTAAAAGGGCTTCTTTCAGATGTGTGGAAGCTGTAAAGGCGGCGGCAGCTGCAGCAGCTGCATTTTCTGACTCCAAGGTGTCTTCGTTTAGGTCGCCACTGGCAAGAGAGGGGGGAAAGTATAAGCAATAACCAACCAACCAGCCAACGTTCTTCATTTTATAGAGTAAATTAATTAAACAAAAGAGCAACTAACAAGTGGAATTCACTGCCGCAGGCAGTGGCGGTGGCTAGAAGCATAGACAGCTTCAAGAGGGAATTGGAACAGAGATCCATCAGTGGATATTAGCCACAAAGGAGGAGGAGGAGGAGATTGGATTTATACCCCGCCCTTCACTACCCAAAGGAGTCTCAGAGCGGCTTACAAACTCCTTTCCCTTCCCCTTTCCACAATAGACACCCTGTGAGGTAGGTGGGGCTGAGAGAGCTCTGACAGAAACTGCTCTTTTTCAAGAACAGCTCTTATCAGAACTATGGCTTGCCCAAGGTCATCCAGCCAGGTGCAAGTGGAGGAGTGGGGGAATCAAACCCAGTTATCCCAGATTAGAGTCTGCGCACGTCACCACTACACTAAACTGGTATAGAGGGAACACTCTGTCTGGGGCAAGTGATGCTCTGTCTTCTTGGTGCTGGGGGGGGGCAACAGCTTGGGGGGGCTTCTGGAGTTCTGGTCCCACTGGTGGACCTCCTGATGGCCCCTGGGTTCTGGCCACTGTGTGACACAGAGTGTTGGACTGGATAGGCCATTGGCCTGACCCAACATTGGCTTCTCTTATCTTCGTATGAAGGATGAACCGGGAACCTCCTGAAGTTGGTACGAAGCCTACCCTGCAACCATGCACTGCTTTTTGCTCAAGGTTTCAAACCTCTCTCCTTCAAGTGGAGAAAGGAATGTCAACACAACACTGGTGCTTGTCACTGGAAGACAGTGTGGAGCCTCTGAACTGAAGGCTGGTGTACACTCTAGGATCCTGACCCTCTGGCTGTTGTCCCTGCTGAGCAGAACAGTAGCTTCTGCTAGCTGCGATTCAGGATTCGGCCCTAACCACTGACCTCTGGGATCCCAGGAGAAAAAGAAAATATGCTCTGAGTCTAGATTTAGGTTTTACTTTCCGCAGCCCCAGTCTGGTGTTGTCAAGGCTTAGAGGGGACATGATTGCAGTCTTAGAGTATCTGAAGGGCTGTCATGTAGAATATGGAGCAGATCTATTCTCTCTTGCTCCGGACTGCAGGACTAGATCGAATGGGTGGAAGTTACAAGGGAGTCGTTATCGGCTCAATATCAGGAGAGACTTCCTAACTGTCAGAGTTCATGCCAGTTGCTCACAATGTAGAATTTTTGCACACAAGACTCCACAGCTTAGAGGGAACATTGGAGCAGACTGCCTCAGGAGGTGGTGGATGCTCCTTCGCTGGATGTTTTCAAGCGGAGGCTGGACGACCATCTTTCGGGTATGTTGCAGGGCTATCTTTTGGCTATGCTCCTGCAGAGTGCGAGGGGTTGATGACCTGCAAGGTCCCTTCCAACTCTAATATTCTATGATTCTATGATATGGATTCACAACTGTATTAAGACGGAGCAGTCTGGAAGGACACTTTCAAATGGGAATAGGTCTGTATTCCATTGCAGTGGTCACTATTATTTTCTGCTATTTAGGTGTCTTTCGGCTTTTACTGCATTGGTCTCATACCTTGCCAATCCCACATTCTGCATGGCTCACACAATAACTTTCTTTCCCTTTTTTTTGCCGTCAATTCACAACTGACTAATGACAACCCCTATAGAGCTTGCTCCTCAAGGCAAGAGACATTCAAAGCAAAAGACGCCCGGCCGTCCTCGACCAGAGCCAGGGTTTTCTCGGCCCTGGCTCCGACCTGGTGGAACTCTCTGCCAGCTTCCGCCAGGGCCCCGCGGGACATAATGCCATTCCGCAGGGCCCATAAGGCAGAGATGTCCCGCCAGGCCTTTGGTTGAGGACAGCGATGGTTTTCCATCATAGCCGGCACCATCTTCTTCTTGTTTTTTCCATCTTGCCTGCTTTGGCCTCCTCCTAACCTGCCCATGAGACGGATGAAGTCCAGAGCAAGCTGTGGAGTCACCCAAAGAGTGATTCGCACTTGGAATTCACTGCCACAGGAAGTGGTGGCGGCTACAAGCATGGACGGCTTCAAGAGGCAATTAGATAAGCATATGGAGCAGAGGTCCATCAGTGGCTATTAGCCACAAGGTATAGATAGGGGCTCCGGGGCCAGTGATGCTCTGTCTTCTTGGTGCTCGGGGAGGGGGTCAACAGTGGGAGGGCTTCTAGAGTCCTGGCCCCACTGCTGGACCTCCTGATGGCAGTGTTCCCTCTAAGCTGAGTTAGTGTGAGCTAGCTCACAGTTTTTGTGACTCCAGCTCATACACTGTTGTCTTAGCTCAGGAAGGAGGGCTCCAGAGCCAACTAATTTATGCGGCAGCCAAATCGCTCGCTCACACCTTTAATCCCAGCAGCTCACAAAGTAGAACATTTGCTCACAGGACTCCACAGCTTAGAGGGAACAGTGGTGTTTTTGGCCACTGTGTGACACAGAGTGTTGGACTGGATGGGCCTTTGGCCTGATCCAACATTGGCAACTCTTATGTTCTTATGAGTCCTGTGAGCAAAAATTCTACTTTGGGAGCTACCGGCATTAAAGTTGTGAGCGGGCGATTTGGCTGCGGCATAAATTAGTTCGCTCTGGAGCCCTCCTTCCTGAGCCGAGATGAAAATGGATGAGCCGGAGGCTAAAAAAGTGTGAGCTAGCTCATACTAACTCAGCTTAGAGGGAACACTGGTCCAGCGCGGGTTTTAGACTAAAGTACCTACGCCATCTGGAGACTGCGCAATTTAATTGATCTGTTGATTTTAAATTGTATTTGTACACAGGGGTAGGCCAATTCAGAAACAGAATTATTATTATTATTATTATTATTATTATTATTATTATTATTATTATTATTATTATTAACAACAACAGGTTTGCCACTGCCTGCCTCCACTGCCTGCCCCCTCATGGATCACTGCCCTGTCGTAGCGAGGGGGCTTGCGTGGTTCGATGAGGCTGTGGGCTATGCCGTGGAGGGCCACCCAAGACGGACAGGCCACAGCAGAGAACTCAGACCAAGCGTGATCCCCTGGAGAAGGAAA